GACCAATCACAACAGAGCCGGCCAGCTAACCAATCACAGCAGACTGGGCTCTGGTTTCAGACAAAGGGTGAAAAGAGGTGCTGCAGCACAGGAAATATGAGAAGTAGTACATTTACAGCAGGAAAGATATATTTATTACTTAATTATTTTCATTATTGGTGAATCCTTTGGCTTATTAACATGTTTTGCCTTTGCTGCATTGTTATGCAATTGGTCTGTCAGCCTTAATAAGCACTTCTCTCTGGTTGTAGTCTTTCATTCTCTGATTTATTTTGGTTTAACAACACACTTTTTTTTATTCTCAAAGCCGTCCTGCTAGGTTTATGAGAGACAACGTTTTTAATGACTGTCTCTTTCTTCCTTTTCTCAAGATGTCATAATTGATATTAAAGAGCATTTTGCCAGATGATTCAGCAACACTTTTTTAAATGTCTCATACAAATGGTGATAACGAGGCACGAATGTTACATCAGAGCTTTAATCGGTGTTTGACATAGGCCTACCTGTCTGTGCATAAATGGCCTCACTTGAGCTTTTTCTTTTAAGTTAATTGATTGACATTTTACAGAAAAATACGTGTTTTCTATTTTTTACTGCACCACTTTCATGTCTGCACAGTGTGAAGCTAAAAGCAGCACCCAGTTAGAGGAGGAATAACTAGCTCTGCTTTTCAGCACCTGTAAAGCTCACTAACTACCACATATATATTATTTGTTTGAATCTGTACAAAAATAATTAAACTTTGTTCTGCAGATTTCGGAAAAATAAGAGGACACAACCTTGAGTGAGCTTAGTGGTGCTTGTGGGTGTTTTGTTTTTGTACCTTTGGACAGAGCCATGCTAGCTGTTCCCCCCTGTTTTCAGTCGTTGTGCTAAGCTAAGCTTGTAGCAAATTAGCTCATTTTAGCTTTGCTTAACTACTTTATTTAAATGTCTCTACAGAGTGCTGTATCAATCTCTGTGTACATGTGCTATGACGCACATGCCCAAATGCCTTATGATCTGTTTAATTCATTCAAGTATAAGCATTTAATACTTAGAATTGCTACTCAGTGACATATTTTTAAGGATCATATTGCTTTATTATTATATTATGTTTTATATAATGCCACAAAAGGCATTTTAATTTACATATTAGGGCAGTGATTTTTATGAAACCTCATTATACTTGACCTTATAAGTCCTTAAAATGCTTTATAATGTGTTAGGATTATTGTTATTAAGTATTTATGATTATTATATTCATACTGTGCTATAAACAGAATACAATGCATTGTAGACATGGGCGTCATAGAAAATGCTACCTCAATGTTTATCTCAGCGAGACAGAAAGCAAACTTGCCAAAATGTTGAACTATTCCTGAGCAATAAAGCAGCGAGATACATTTTATAGTGTATAACTGCTAGACAAGTGTTTCCAAACTAGTGGAAAGCGGTCCACGGAACATTTCTGAATGGATCAAAAGTGACTCTTCTGACTTTTCTTCACAGATGTGTGGTTAGAAGAATCTAACATCCGACTGATGTGCTTTGCCATCTGGCTGGTGGCCGTGGCGTGGTCCTGCCTCCCTCTGTTCGGATGGGGCGAGTACGTCCCCGAGCCGTACGGCCTGTCCTGCACCGTGGCCTGGAGGGGCTACCACTCCTCCACCAAGGACGCCTTCTACATCATCTGTACCTTCGCCGTCTTCGCGCTGATCCCCGTCGTCCTCATCGTGGTGTCTCAGTGTCTGATCCTCGCCAAGCTTAACCGCTATTCCTGCTCTTTGTCTGCGAGGGGCATCCGCAACATGCGATTCATCGAAAAACGACTCTCCATGGTGAGAAACTACGTTTTTTCTGGAATTACTTCATTGCAGTGGCTTCCTTACATCTAGGCATCTACAATTTTGCTTGATTTAGATTTTATTAAGCTAGTTTTAGGGTTTAACTTAGTGAAGAGCACTCAATAAACAACATGGGGCTGGACTGGTTGGAAATGGATCTATTTTGCAATGGAAATATTCAATTTATATTGACGTCTATTTGTAAAATAATGGACTAAATAAATGTGAAAAAGCTAATTTACCAGAGTATTTCCATCCAGTTCCACTTTTGAAGCAAATTTTTTTCTTTTTACCCGAATAAATTCATTTAACAATCATAACTACTTTGTATATAAAAACACAGGATATTCTTATATGATTTGATGCAGCACTGTATCATAAATCATTTGAATTTTATTTGTTTGTGATAAAAACATAATAATATTATTGTATAATGAGATTTAACAGCAAAAAAGGCCATTCTTCAAAATTAGTATATTTACTTTTGATACTTGAAATAGATTACTTTTACTGATCTGAGTAGTTGTTCCGACTATATACTTTAGCAAATGATTGGGGTTATGGTAACAAAACAAATCACATTTGAGGTTTATAAGCGCCTGAATATTCATGTCAGGCTGCGGTGAGTAAGGCACATTTCTACACACTAAGCTTCTGCTTCAAATGAGGAAAAGATTCCTCATTTGCAACTGAAAATAAACATTTAAACATGTGACTGATACTGTCACTTTTTCAGGACAGTCATAACTTACAAACATTGATTTTGATAGGCTGCTTGACCACATTAGCATTGTATTTGTTTTTCTACAGTCTCCAAGAGACCAGCTTTAAAGGATTACACCCCTAATGATTCATTATTTATTTACAGCACTAAAGTATTTCCAATGTAGTAATGTATCTTCGGTTATCTGTTACTTCCTCTTCCAGATGTTCTTCTGCGTCAGCCTGGGGTTTGTGGTTGCCTGGGCGCCGTACGCTATCGTGTCCTTTCTCTTCATTTTCCACGAGGAGCAAGTGTACATGGCTTCTGAGGGATATCTGTTTCCCGCACTCTTCTCCAAAAGCTCGCACATCTACAACCCGTTCATCTACTTCTACTTCAACAGAACGTTTCAGCAGGAGCTCCGCCACATGCTCTATTCAATCTGGCCCAAGCTTGGAGGAAATCGAGTGAGTGTCCACGTCCCCATCGATCACCATTTTCCCATCCACATCCAGCTGCAGGAAAGAAGACGCGTCCGGAAGAAGAGTTGTGGTGTGTCTCAGGACAGAACTAACAGCAAAAGCAAGGGCAAAGAACAACACAAATGCATCACCAACAACCAGAAGCAGGTTCAAACCTGCTGGGAATCAATGGCGAAAGAAGCCCCCAAGATTTTGGAAAAGAATCCTGGAAAAGACACCAAGCCTGTGTCCTTATGAACTCAGTTTCACTGTTTAAATGGGGGATTTATCTCAGAATCAGGTTTAATACCAGGTAGGTTTACACTTACGAGGAATTTGACTAGGTGTTGTGGTGCATACATAAAAGTAAAACAACAATCTAAACACAGATAGAGAACTAGAAAAAATATTAAAATAATAAAAAATATAGTAAAATATAAATATAACAGTATTTACATTGCAATGGAATGGAATCCAAAGGAATCAAAAGCAATAAAATATGGAATAAAAAAAATCGGCTGTAATAAGAAAAGAAAAGGGATATTGTTGTACATTGTGTGCATTAATGTAATGCATAGAGTCTATGATGTGGCTGAGGCA